TTTTGAGTTTTTTTGTTATAAAATGCACTTCACACTATTCATTTTTCGATAAAAAACGTTACTGAGATGCACTTTGTTCTTTATGTCTATCTTGCATTTCATAGCTAGAATGGCCTTGGTATTAAACATAATAGTAACAGTAATTCATATGCTTAATTAATACTCAATGTATAAAGCCTTAAGGTTGAAACAACTCACGTAACTATAGGTAAAACTGATGCGCAATTAACACAAAACGTAGTAAAATTTAATAATATTAAGTTAATACTTACATTATAAAACAAGTCAAACGAATCGTCTGTTAGCATAAACTATGTAGGCCTACATAAGGCAATTTCAACATCAGTCTAATTAGTCGTTGACTTTGAATGTTTTTAATAACTATAATTTGAAAACATATAACTTACTAGTAATACTAATAGTATTACATAAAGATAATTTTATGACTTGAAATAGGCCTAGGCATTATACGTATTTAAAGTTAATATAAACATATTGCCACTTGAACTGATTAACAATGAAGATTTTGATTAAAATTTAGACCTATTTAATATTATAATCCTGCTGAACTTTAGTTTACGAGGTCTGTAAATGACTTTCTAAGGAGGTTGTTTAAGGTCTTACCAAGTATATTTAGGAGCAATCACCATTAAGCATTGATGTATTGACTGTTATTCCTTGTCCGCCGTGTTTTGAATGAAAATTGAGTTACGTTTATTGAGTGTCGTTAGCGTTTCAGGATGGCTAATAACGAATAATACAAGTGTTTGGTGGATACTTTTTGAGGCAAGTTTCCTGCATATTTCAAATTATATAAAACTGGCTCGAATTTTCTTTTGCTATTTTGCTTAGACTAGATATAAAATAGACTACTCGATATTGTTACTGTTAGTTACCATTTTAGAGCTATCCTAAATTTAGGGTTAATACCTACTTAATTTTAAATATGTAAGTCAGTTATTTTAAATGACTGATGTAAATACAAGACAGTGGGTTTGAAGTTCTGAACTCTAAATCATTTACTAAAAAAAAAAAAGCTTTGTCGAAATTTATCATTTCTCTCTTTTTTTATCTACGTAAATAAAACAACGTAAGCTTTTGTTATCGATGGATCCACGTTATAAAACAGATTTTTTTCGTCTTGCTTTGAGAATTTCTTAAAAAAAATCGAAAATTGTTGACATTAAAATGCGCGTTCCTCCTCGAAATTCGGGCTGTTCAAAGAAGTTTGTGTTAGCCTACTTTACAATTTCGATCTATTTATGTTCAATATAATATAAAATAGCTACCAGCTGGTGTGACGAACGAAGGAGAAGTAGAGGATCTAGGAGGGAAGTCCGTACTTCCATTCACTACCCCCCCCCCCCCAGGGGCACAGCGGTATGTCTGCGGACTTACAACGCTAGAAACCGGGTTTCAATACTCGTGGTGGGCAAAGCACAGATAGTCCATTGTGTAGCTTTGTGTTTAACTACAAACAAACAAACCATTAACTAAAAATCATTCACTTAGCCCTATTTGATGGCCCAGTTTGCAATGAACTAATGAATTAATTAGGGCAAAGTAGGCACAAAAAACAACAACAAACAACTCAATCAATACTACTCGCAATAAGCCTAAATCTCTACTCACAGCAACAAAGTATGCCTGTCCAGCAACGTATAATTTTGAGCTTGAAAGTTTCAGTTAAACTTAAAAGAGTTTTGTCCCGCTTCCTATAAAGGTAAACTCAAATGTAGAACAGTGCAGTAGCAGGCGATTTTTAGCTAGCAGACGACGTACGCTAATAAACTGAGCATATGTACACTTTCCTAGGAATTGTGGGAATTTCAGCATTTTGTTGAAGTTTCCAATTTCTTTTCATAGAATAAATTTCAAGTAGTCACTGCTACAGAACATTTTGTTTGATATTTTGAATTTAACTTCTGCAAGGCGTATGTATCCAACGTGGTGAATTTGAAAATAAAACATCTTTGTAAGATCAAGGCGATCTCGAGGCCGCGCCGAACGGAAATCCAAGATGGCAAAGACCATTAGGCCTAAAAAAAATCTAAGGTCTAAGTATATGCAAAGATTTGAAATAGTATACATGTCTATGTATAGTACGAACTACATCGTCGCACTAGTCTTCGTTCGTTATAATCTAGCAAGTCAGGAAGAATATTTTTACAAATAATTATTACGACGTGTTATTCAACCCTCTCTTGTTTTTTAAAAGTTGTTAAACACGAATAGCAGTAAAAAAAACTTGTTTCATTAGTTTATATGAGAAAGTTGGTGGTAAAGCACTCTGAACGACAGGATGGTTCAGTAGCTTGTCCCAAGTGTTTTGGGGAGGAAACTATGTTATTCCATGTGCTTATGACGGTTACGAGAAAGAGAAAAGACAGTATCCAGACAACCTTTAGAGCAAATTAAATAAGAAACTGAACCATTACAGGTGTAGGCTTATTTGAAAGTATTATACATATTAAACTACAAAAATGATTTGTTTTATTAGTGATTTTGAGAATAATTTAGATTAGTCTTTAAAATAGTTACCCTTGACATGTCTAATTTCCCTCATGTGTGTCATCATCTCAACTGTTAATTCATTTGAGATTTTAAGCCATTTCAATAAGTTGAATGGTCGATACTTTTTGTTGAAGTATGAGAAGAGCTGTCTTGTGTTATAGGAACTTACAATCTAATATGGCATTAGTGATGTAATTCTGTATCAAACTCAGTTAAAAAATTGTACAATGAACTGCGTAGAACATAATTTTCAATATGTGCATTTCTTTTCATGATTGTCTCAGGTTATCTTGGTTTAATTTGTTCTTTTACTTTTGCCTTTTCACTAGTTGATTAAATAGCATTTTGAGTTATTTGTGTTAAATCACATGATTCTAATAATATTTAACATGACTCTGACAAATCTATAAAATGTCATCTGATTCAAGGAATATAATCACAGACCTTTGTCAGAGTCATGTTGAATATTATTAGAATCATGTGATTTATCTATAAAATATCATCTGATTCAAAGAATATAATCACAGAACTTTGTCAGAATCATGTTAAGTATTATAAGATTCATGGGAACTAACACTAAAATTATCAAACTCACGAGAAATAACTATAAGACATGTGTCTTAACTATGGAATTTTGTCAGGATTTGCAAGTCTAGTTTTCTAGCCAGTTCTTAATACTCGGTTGTTTTCTAGTCACTTTTAAATATCAAGATGTTCAAATGTTTATCTTGTGTTTTCTGTTCGCTTATTACTACCAAGTCGTTCAATAGTTAATCCTGTGGTTTCTGGCCAATTCTTCAAATTGTAAGATGTATATTAGAGCATGGAAGTCCAGCGAAGGATAAGATTAGTCTTTCTCCTCAAGGTGTATGACTTATTGAGTGTTATATGACTCTAATAAACGAGGTTAACTTTGTGTATATTAGAGCATGGAAGTCCAGCGAAGGATAAGATCAGTCTTTCGCCTCTAGGTGTATGACTTATTGAGTGTTATATGACTCTAATAAACGAGGTTAACTTTGTGTATATTAGAGCATGGAAGTCCAGCGAAGGATAAGATTAGTCTCTCGCCTCTAGGTGTATGACTTATTGAGTGTTATATGACTCTAATAAACGAGGTTAACTTTGTGTATATTAGAGCATGGAAGTCCAGCGAAGGATAAGATTAGTCTTTCGCCTCTAGGCGTATGACTTATTGAGTGTTATATGACTCTAATAAACGAGGTTAAGTTTGCATCGATCTCACTCAGATGCGGGTATCGGTTCTTAGGTTTCTATTTTTACTTTTTCTAACTTACATTATTCCTTCTGAGTTGTAATTTTGTTTCTTTGAAAGTTTTCTTCGTTGACTTACCAGCTTATAAATCACGTTTGTTTTTCTCTACTCATCGCTATGCTCCCGAACAGATCTGAAAGAGAATGCAGATCACGGCATCTGAACGTGTATCTTCTTGCGCACGGTTAAAATGTCGATGGGAAGCAGCCTACAGGGACGAAGATCATGAACACCGCGTGCACCCATGTAGTTCTACTTATGTTAGGGTCTTCCTGAAGATTTTACTGAGCATTACGTGTTAGTCACGTATTCAAACTGTTAACAGGGGGTTTATTCATACAAATTAAACAGGTATTGTACTAACTAAACTCGTAAAGGCCGTTGACTAATGAAAGCACTTTAGAGTCACTTGTAAGCACGTGGTATAAGATTGAGAACGATGTGCACACCTTGTTGGATCATCACTTCTCGGTACTTGAAGAATGTAGTGAAAGTGAATAGTATATGCTTTTAACATATTTAATCTTCCGCCTGTGATACGTTATTTCTTGGAATAAAAAAGAACTATTTCTTCTGAAGTTGAACGAAGTTTTAAAATTAGACAAAAGTTAACACACGTGTGATTAAGTCACCCTTTTAACAAACATGTTAACTAATGTTTTGTCAATGTTCGCTCACATTATAGTGAGTCACTAATCTTTATAAAAGTGTGTTGAAAAACACAGGTTTAGAAGAAAGTTATTTCTGTTCGAGTTTTGATACACCGAAAGAATGTCATTGCTTGAAATATATTTGTAGAAGACATAAAACCACAGTCGCGTGTTGAATTTTTCAAGATTTAATTTGTAAGGTTGATGTACTGAAAAACAGGAGCAGGGTTTTTTTTATATAGTTATTTTTTGAAAATTATACGTTGATATCTTTAGTGGGGTGTAAAACTCATTTTTTTCTGTAAGTTCTTTGAAACCTTAAATATTTTAGTAAGACACTGTCATCTTTGTTTAATAGGTTACTTTGTAATAACCATATAATATATATTCTGTGCACACCAAAGGCATCTTGGAATGAAGCTTCTGGGAATAAAATCTGATTTCCAGTTCCCTGTTGATATGAAAAAGAGCATTATACTGGGGAACCTATTGTGGATCTCGTGTAAACCAAGAAATATTAAACATTCACACCAGAGTCAAAAATGACATTTTTCAAACGAAACGTTGTTTTATTCAACAAACATTACACTGTCTAATACTAACGTAATAGAAGGATCGGAAGCACAAAAGGCCAGCTATGTTATTTGATAGTTGTGCTAATTGTTATGTGGCGTGGCTTGCTTTAGTGCTTTTTTAAAGTGTTCTAAAGATAAAGCTATTCAAGCGTTAACCTTCTATTTTCTAGCCAATTCTCGATAATCAGTTGTTCAAGTGAAAATCTTGACTTTACCGGCCACTTCATGATATTCAGTTGTTCAAGTATTAATCCTGTGTTTTCTAGTACTTCTTAATACTCAATTATTCAAGTATTAATCCTGTGATTTCTAGTACTGCTTAATACTCAATTATTCAAGTATTAATCCTGTGTTTTATAGTGCTTCCTAATACTAAGTTGTTCAGGTGTTAATCCTGTGTTTTCTAGTACTTCTTAATACTCAATTATTCAACTGTTAATCCTGTGTCTTATAGTGCTTTCTAATACTAAGTAGTTCAAGTGTTAATCCTGTGTTTTCTAGTATTTCTTAATACTCAGTTTTCAAGCCTTAATCCTGTGTTTTCTAGTGCTTCCTAATACTCAGTTGTTCAAGCGTTAATCCTGTGTTTTTTAGTACTTTGTAATATCTAGTTATTCAAGTGTTAATCCTGTGTTTTCTAACCAGTTCCTAATACTCAATTATTCAAGTGTTGATCCTGTGTTTTCTAGCACTTGTTAATACTCGGTAGTTATCTATCAAGACATTTATACAAAACGCATGTCATTAGAAAACGTAGTAATTACTTTGCCAAAATTTAAAAAAAAAAAAGTGATTTATCCAAAATTATTAACGTAAAATTGTTTTGCACCATAATGACGTCACATTTTAAGCAAGTTATGTGATTTGGCAATGGCGTTAGGACGTGATCAGTATTTGATATGTATGTTGTATCTTCACCTTACTTTACACATTACGTTGCAACATTGAAACATCAGCAAAGCACACTCAGGTATTCCCGTCAGTAGGGGGCGCGCGGGTGAGCCCTGAGTTGGGATCGGGCAATAAAGTCAACTAAGTAACACAATACCTTAACAAAGATACAAAGAAAGTTAAAACAAGGGAGTGTAATAGTTTCAAGATACGATACAGTCATTCGTCTCATTGTCACTGTGAACGTTCTCTCGCATTTTAGATACTTTCTTGCTCACACGACGAATTAAACTGCGACTGCGTGGTTCGCTTTTTTGATATCCTTCCTCTGGACCTTTGGCTTTTCCACTAGATGCGTGTGCACTGGAGCGGCGGTGCAAGCTCGAAGATTCAGACTGAAATGGTATTTTAGCCAAAATAAGAAAGGATCGGAAAAGTTCCTTCATGTTGACGTTATCCTTTGCTGAACATTCCATTAATTTGACCCGAAGTCGAGGGAGTTCACAGAAAACCCATTCGGCTACGTCTTCCTTGACTAGCTCGCGCCGTTCACTAGCCAAGTCCAATTTGTTTCCAGCTACAATTATGGGAACTCCTTGGAAATCCGTTCGCTGTTCCCGAATCTCCTCAAAACATTTCTTCAGGGTTTCGAAGGACGTCTTGCTGTCTATGGTGTACACCAGAAGGAAAGCTTGCGCATTGGCTATGGAAAGTCGACGCATGGCTGGAAACTGCATGTCGCCCGCAGTGTCCAGAAAGTCCACCTTCAGAGTCGTGGTACCCAAGTCGAATTCTCTGTAGTGCATGTCCTCCACAGTAGGGGAATGTTTCTCAGTAAAAGTGTTAAACAGGAACCTCTTGATGATGGAAGATTTACCTACTCCCGTCCCTCCCAGCACCACCAGTCGAACTTGATAGGATGAGCTCTCTCCCATTGTTGTAACTTAGGCCTCGAGGTTTTCTAAATTAACATAAGTAAGAGTTTAGCTGTAGTTTACATTACTTATCTCCAAATCAACTTTTACTCCTCAGGGAGCTTCGTCATCATCATCATAAAACTAGGCACAGTTTCTATCAATGTTATCGCACTTAAAACCTCTTTTTTTTTCCACAAGAGCTAAGTTAAAAGCTTCCGTCTTCGTTTATTACTATAGATAAGACTCTCTACATTTCTTAAATTATATATAATCATGACATTACTTCGGAGGAAAAAAAAACAGATGATAAGAAGTTTGACTAGCTGCAAAACATTGAGCTTTAATAAACGTCCTTGAATTTCTCTCTCTCAATTTTTAAAATCTTTATATCAGAATTCTACAGAATTATAATACTTTATTGCATAAATTAAATCGTGGATAAAAAAAACAGACCAAAATATCGTTAACAATCTGTCACAAAGATACATATTAAATTCGTGATTACAACTCTTAAAAAAAACCGGTTTTGATGAGATTTCTGAAGATGTCCTTTCTAAACCATTTTCAACAGATAAAATATATTTACAATAATATCTCTGTATCTCTGGTAATATATTTAAGTACCTTTCATTTTATTTTTTGTGCTGGACACACTTTTGCGATTGGAACAGAGATGGTGTTTATAAATTATTGAAAAATGATTTTATGCCTTATGGGGTCAGAGCTAAGTTCCAGGATTCGATTCCCTGCAAAGAACAGAGTGCTAAGAGCCTATTGTGTAACCTTGCACTAAGAAAAAGAAAATAACAACACGTAAAATGAGATTAGTTTTTACTTTATCCTTAACAGTTAAAATCCGCATGGTCTAAAAACAATTTGTTTTTTTTAACATAAGCTGTAAGTATTTTCATCACATATATATAATCAGTAGCATCATTATTAATAAATTATATTCACTAAATAATTCGTAATGTTTAATACGTATTCTATCATATATCACAGACAGTTACTTTTCAGACTAATATTGTAACTATTATATATAAATTGTTAAAGGTTAAACCAGGAGCGTATCACAGAGTTCGCGTTGGGGATCAGGCCCCCATTAGAGAGTTCTGCCTCCTCATCTGAGATATAGTCTTTTAATATTTTTAAACTTTATACTCTCACTGACATGAAAGGGTTAACTTTTTGCCTCCCAAACTACCTCTTTGCCCCCCTTTATGCTCCCCCAAGTAAAAAGTCCCAAAAGTGCCACTGAGATTTCGAACATTTTTTATTATTACTTATATTAAATGTCAAAAACTGTATCTACCAGAGTATTTATGCTAGTCTCCGCTAGGAATTTTGTGAGGCTTCTGTATAAACTGGTACATTTCAAATTTCGTATCACACGCCACTTCACGTGCATATCTGGATAATGGAAGTGGTTTGGGCATTTTATTAAAGTTAATTGTGCTTCCCCCACTCCCAGAGAGACATGGCACTACTGTGTACCAGAGGAAATAGTCTCGAGTGTCATTGCTGGTACGGGTGTTATAGGATGGTAACCTTTGCATTATAAGTAACTCATCTTGTTTATCTATACTGCTATACATGTCATTGGTATCTGTTGATATTATTATTCATGAAGCAATAACTGTCCTAGGCGTGGCTAATTACATAACATGCCCGGACTGGGAATACGAGGATTCGTAGTTCGCGTTCCGTTGCTACAAAAACATGTTCCACACTTCGCACCCATGGGCCATAAGATTGATGATCAAATCCCATCATTCATTTAGACAAAAGTATCTCAAGAGTTGGGGGTGGGTTCTGTTGGTTAGCTGCCTTCTCTATAGTCTATAAGTTCAAAATTATGGACGGCTGTACGCAGACAACCTTTGTGTAACCTTGCACAAAGATTCTGAAGCATATGAAGCGATAACTGCATCTTATGTAAAGCCTAAACAATCACATTATTATGTAAAGCCAAACAATCACTTTATTATGTAAAGCCAAAACAATCACTTTATTATGTAAAGCCAAAACAATCACATTATTATGTAAAGCCAAAACAATCACTTTATTATGTAAAGCCAAAACAATCACATTATTATGTAAAGCCAAAACAATCACATTATTTTGAAGTGATTGTTTAGGCTTTACATAATAATGTGATTGTTTTGGCTTTGCATAATAATGTGATTGTTTTAGCTTTACATGAACATATTCTGTAGTAAAGAAGTTTGTAATTGGAAAAGTTCACTGTGGCAATAAGTTAGTAAAACAATCTAAAATCTTAGTCGATAGCGAAAAAATATTAAAACACTTAACATTCTATACCGCACATTACAGAACGAGGTAAATTTTTATGATAAATTTGACATTATCTAAAACTTTCCGCTTCTTTAATACCCTACAATATGAAAGGCAACTTCACGTGTGTTACAATTCACTGACTAATAGAAAGTGATAATGTAAGGCCACGACCTAAAAGGAGGCTTTAAATAATCCTGATGTAAGAGAAACGACCAGATCAAATCCCAATCTACAAAGAGTAACTAGATAAAATCTCAATCTAAGAAGGATAACTGGATTTAATCTCGATCTTAGAAGAGTAACTGGATCCAATCAACACGTGAACATGTAAAAAGCAGCATAGCAATTGTTACTATCCTGAACCGACTCTTAACATGTTTTCAGTCTAAGTGCCTTTGCTTTAAATTAGCATCCCAAACTTCTTAAACATAAATTAATTTTTTCTCACACTGTTAGCTGCCTTTGTTTGTTATTCTTGTTCAGAGAATTTATTCTTGGGAGCTTTTATGAATTGATCCAGGATAATCCATTTTGTTTTAATGTGCTAGATATTTACAGTCCCCAAAATGTATTTTCAAAGGATTATCATGATACAAACCAAGTAAGAGAAACTTGATAACATAAGCGCTTTCCAAAGAAACCTGATAACACGAGGAAGGTCTTTCTTCACCAAGACTGAACCCTGAAGAAAAATTTTCTGATCGTCTAAGTTACCGGATTTATTTATTGGACATTTTTCAAATGGTATCAGTGTCATTCAAAATAACATCGTCTCTCTTCTCGTGTAAAAGGTTCAAGCTTTACTCTACTGTTATGATGTTTTAACTGTCTCTCCGTATTTCAACTTGAGCCCCTAAAGTTTGTATTCCAAACAGTCGAATCTCCAAGTTGATTTGAAGAATCTTTCTGGAACAGCATACATCAGTTACTAAATGGCCTTCCTATGTTCTTTAAAAAAATTCCGGGTTTATTGAAAAAATATAAATTGAAAAGTTTGATTTTTTTTCTTTGAAACAAAAAATGCTAAAATTATTTTATTCTGCCTTTAAGCTATTAATCCTGAATGAAGAAGGCCTTTATGGTTGATAATGCTGTAATACAGTTTTTGCTGCTCCGGTTACCACGTTCGAACTCTTAGCCTCTTGCCAGTCGAGTACTCTACCAACTGAGAAAAACGGTTAACCCCCAATTATTTCTGGTAAAATAGTTTTTGACAACTCAAATTACAACATTATTACTTGAGCAACTCATCACCTTTCTTTCCTAGTACCTTTAGCCTAACTTTTATGGACGAAACTAAGATATTTTTTATAAAGACGCCTAATAAACAGAAAGAAATCCTCTTATTTTGTATACAGAATACGTTGTTGTCTAGAAAGGGGATTGACAAAGCGTCGTTTCTATGACTATGGTTGTTGTTGGTTATAAATTTCGCGCAAAGCTACATAAGGGTTATCCACACATAATCGTCCATACTTTTGAACTAATTAACTAAAGGGAAGAAGCTGGCCAATGAACAACACTCACTGCCAATTCTTGGATTACAACGTATCCATGTCCACAAAGTGCAGAGTGCGTTTCTTTTTTGTTGTTGTTGTTTGCTGTAACGAAACGCCAACTTTATATCCTCGGTTTCAAGGACCAGGATACGTTAATGCCCAGCCTATGAATACTGAAAAAGGATGGTTCTAAAGGTTATCACTGTGGGAATTCAACATTTGTTAGCAAGAAACAAATTATTTATTCAAAATCACGTGTTTTAACTACTTGGAATGAATAAACACAATTGCTAACTTATTTTTTAATTCGTGTGTTTATTACTTATAAAACATTTTGATACCTTTACCGTGGTTGAAATATTCTATATAAAAACTTTTTATTTCCAACAGCAACCTTCAGCAGTAAGAATATACCTTAATACATATTCACACAAAATTGCCCGGCATGGCTAGGTGGTTAGGGCGCTCGACTCGCAATCTGAGGGTCGCGGGTTCGAATCCCTGTCCCACCCGGTCAATTCCACTATT